CAGGCACACCATCTCATGATGTTTCAACTCTCCCAGTCCACTTCCTCTCCAACTCACGCTGAGGGGAGGAGAAGCGTACTGTGGCGGACTTTGTGATCAATGCCGCGGGGCTTTGGTGCGACAAAGTGGGCGCCATGGCCGGTGTGCGGGTGCCGTCTGTGGTGCTGCAGCATCAGTGCGCTGTGTCCTTTGCATCCGATGTGGTTGGGTGGGGTTGTTGGTGAAGATCTGCGAAACTGATAGGGCCACAGATGAGCATGAAAAACAAATACGCTTACATACCTCATGAAGTGCTGCCAGCTTTCCAGCTGTTTGTGAGAATGTAGCCATTGGCGCAGCGTAGCAACGTTTACACCAGATACGGCGATACGGCTTACAAAGCTTCATGTAGCTCACTCTCGTAGACGCAAAATAGCGAGACCCCCTAAAGATTCCTGGAACAAAGGAGGGTTGGACAAACAACCCTATGTTTGAGGGGCAAGAACATCAATTGAATTGTCAACATCCTAATGCACACTTGCCAGCCCTGACATTTCAATACCCAGTGGTGACAGCTCAGCGCTTGAACCTGGACTTTGCCATGTCGACCTTTGTGAAGCCATGTGCAGCTTGCAAGACGGATCCTGTGGTTGTGGGCCCAAAGTGGTCAAGACACAACTCCCACGGCATCCCATTTGAAAGGTACGAAAGGCGTGAACGGAGAGTATTGCCTGCTGCCACTGCTGCAGCTGTCTTGGCTTGTGGCGAGAAGAAGCACCACCGCTTGAGGGCCAAGTTCTTTCTGCGTGGCAGGCCAAAGGAAGGATCTGAGACGAAGACAGAGAGTGTGATCAAAGGGTCCGCTGAACGTGAGGAGGCTTTTCTCTCAGACACACAAGCTTTGGACTCGCAAATCTTGTCTTTGGCAGTGCCTGCTTTAATTGCTCTATGTGCAGAGCCAGTCTTGTCCATTATTGACACAGGTTTTGTTGGCCGTTTGCCAAATGCACCACTTTCCTTGGGAGGGCTTGGACACTTGCTTTGCACCAAGCATTAGAGTTTGGCGGTGAGAGACACTGTTCTTGTTTGGATTCTCGCCTGTAGTCAAACAGGTAGTATCCCCTCCATGATCGCTCACAGGTAAGTAGATCTTTGGTTTGTTCACTTTGAGGAATCCGCTTCTGCTTGGACTTCAGGTGCAGCTACTTCAGTCTTCGACTTTGTTTTCCGCTGCTACAATTTTCTGTGTGTTGTCCTTGTGCCGCTGGTGGCGGAAGCTGTGGTGGCTCAAAAGCGTGGAAACGAGCAGGAAGATCCTGGCAAGATCGTGGGCCGAGTCATTGGTTTGGCGGCATCTCTGGGGCTTTTCACTTGGCTTCTGCTTAACTTCGGCAGCAACCAAGCACTGCAACTGGCTGGAGTGAGCCCAGATTCTGCCCTGGGAACTGTGGCTGGAGAATATCTTCGAATCCGAGCGGTCGCATTGCCAGCGAGTTTGGTGAATACAGTTGCCATCGGTGCTTTTCGAGGGCATTTGGACACCACCACTCCTTTGTACCTGGCTGCGAGATAGCCCGCTATTCCTTAGCATTTTTTTTCAGTCCCAGAGCAAAACCTGTTTCGACAATCTTGGTTCTTGGCTTTTCCTTGAACATTCAATGCCTCAATGCTGAAAGCCACTCCAGCTTACCTGGATGTTTGCAAGCTGCAAGACTTTGTGCGACCTAAGGTATGTGATTCTTCTCCAGACGCTCTGCGATATCGTTCTGGATGCAGTATTCGTTTTTGGTGTGGAGGCTTTGAGCATCCCTGCTCTTGGAGTGGAAGGTGCTGCATGGTCAACCGTGGCATCCATTTGGATCAGCTGTTTGTGCTTTTGTGTCTTGCTTTCCCAGCGTGGCTTTGTGGAGTGGCGGGCGGCAATCTCATGGCCTTTGGCTTTGAAGGCAACGAAACTTGCTTTGAGAGATATTGGACATATCTCATTTTGGATGCATCAAGCGATCTTGATTTTATCATCTCTATTTATGACCAAAAGACCTTGCTAGTAGGTTAGAGGCCATCGCTATTAAGGTGGCAGGCCATCACTATTAGGTTGGAGGCCATGGCTAGTAGGTTGGAGGCCATCGCTATTAGGTTGGAGACTTTTGCTATTAGGTTGGAGGCCATCGCTTATAGGTTGGAGGCCATCGCTATTTGGTTGGAGGCCATCGCTTCTAGGTTGGAGACCATCGCTATTAGGTTGGAGGCCATCGCTTCTAGGTTGAAGGCCATCGCCATCGCTATTAGGTTGGAGGCCATCTAGTAGGTTGGAGGCCATCGCTTCTAGGTTGGAGGCCATCGCTCCTAGGCTGGAGGCTATCGCTATTATATAAGTTATAAGGTTTCAGGCCATCCCTACTAGGTTGGAGGCCATCGCTACTAGGTTGGAGCCCGTCGCTATTAGGTTGGAGGCCATCGCTATTTGGCTGGAGGCCATCGCTATTAAGTTTGGAGGCCATCGCTATTAGGTTGGAGGCCATCTAGTAGCTTGGAGGCCATCGCTTTTAGGTTGGAGGCCATTGCTATTTGGTTGGAGGCCGCTATTAGGTTGGAGGCCATCGCTTCTAGGTTGGAGGCCATCCCTATTAGGTTGGAGGCTGTTGCTATTAGGTTGGAGGCCTCGCTTATAGGTTGGAGGCCATCACTATTTGGTTGGAGGCCCTTGTTTCTACGTTGGAGGCCATCGCTTTTAGGCTGGAGGCATTCGCCATTATGGTTGGAGGCCATCGCTATTCGGTTGGAGGCCATCACTCTTATGGTTGGAGACTGGTGCTATTAGGTTGGAGGCCATTGCTTATAGCTTGGAGGCCATCGCTATTTGGTTGGAGGCCATTGTTTCTACGTTGGAGGCCATCGCTTCTAGGCTGGAGGCCATCGCTACTATGGTTGGAGGCCATCGCTATTATGGTTGGAGGCTATCGCTTATAGGTTGGAGGCCATCGCTATTAGGTTGGAGACTGTTGCTATTAGGTTGGAGGCCATCGCTTATAGGTTGGAGGCCATCGCAATTTGGTTGGAGGCCTGTTCCTACGTTGGAGGCCATTGCTTCTAGGCTGGAGGCCATCGCTATTATGGTTGGAGATTGTTGCTATTAGGTTGGAGGCCATCGCTGATAGGTTGGAGGCCATCGCTTTTTGGTTGGAGGCCATTGTTTCTACGTTGGAGGCCATCGCTTTTAGGCTGGAGGCCATCGCTATCATGGTTGGACGCCATCGCTATTAGGTTGGAGACTGTTGCTATTAGATTGGAGGACATCGCTTATAGGTTGGAGGCCATTTTTTCTACGTTGGAGGCCATTGTTTCTACGTTGGAGGCCATCGCTTCTAGGCTGGAGGCCATCGCTATTATGGTTGGAGACTGTTGCTATTAGGTGGGAGGCCATCGCTTCTAGGCTGGAGGCCATCGCTATTAT